GCTCCCTCCCCGTCTACCTCGATAAAGCGGGACCCTCAGCTGCGGGTCCGATTCCGGTCGACCCCCATTTGGGTTCTGCCCCTTCGTGGCCCCCCCCCCTTCTCCCCCACAGATCGAATCGCAAAACTTAACGAAGACGCTGCTGTGTGTGGATATGAGCCGACGGGACCACTGGTGACGCAGAGCAGAACAAACTGCTTAAAAATGGAGTCGCGGTGATGTCAGCGGACTGGATTGAGCACCCAGGGTTAGTGGCAAACACATTTGTGTGTGTTCTGGGCACGAAGTCACAAGTCACACGCCGGCTTGTGAGCTTCTCCTCCCTCCCTCTCTGTCCTCTCAACTCAATCACCCTCTCCTCTCTTCCCTCTCCATCCCCCCATCTATTTCTACACTTCTTCTACTCATATGGATCGGTGCGGTTGCAGCCCTGCCCTACCCCCAAAACCACAGTCCGCATCTCACAACCCCCCCCCCCCCCCCTAGTTGCCAGTTACCGCAACGCTGGGGCCCCAGAGCCCAACAGGGTGCTGTGTACAAACACTCACCAATGGCAGCTCACCTGTCACCTTCATTATGAGAAACAGAGGGGGGAGGTGGGCAGACCTTTTCTTTACTATAAGCTAAACAAATAAAAAAACACTTATCTCAAAAAATGATTAACTCCTGTCACACCCACAACCGTCTCCCCGAAGGAAAACAAACGAACAGCAGGCAGCTGAAACTGAAAAGAAAGAAAGAGCCCCCCCCCCCCCCACGGAATGGTACGTCCGGTTATTAAAAACACAAAATAAGCTAAGAGGCAAAACAGAGGACGGAAGGTGGAGAAATGGAGGCATAAACATGCCCCCCCGGCGATCTCATCCCGGGTTGGGCGCGTTGTTTGCCAGCTGGCTCAGAGGCCGGGTCGTTCCCAGCACCAGCAGCAGAGCAGATGTCCGTCTGATGGAATTCTGTACACCCTCTGGCCAGACCCTGCCCCCCCCCACCCCAGAGTACAGCTCTTTTTTAAAAACAACCTGCAGTACACCTCTCTGAAAATGAGACATATGTGACACCAAAAAAAGCCAGGAAAAGGCCTAAGTTTTGGTCAGCAGGTGGCACAGCGGTTAAAGACAAACCCAAACGCTGCCAGTCTGATGACCAGAAGAGACTCTGCTCTTTTATTCCTGCCTGGGTTATCAGCGCACTTCCAGGAGAGGCCAGATTTGTGACCGCCTGCTTTCCTACCCTGGGTGGTGGAAAGGCCCTCACTTGGTCAGGCTGGGGGTGGGGGGGGTGGCACCCAAGGATGCCCTGGGACGGGCAGGTGTGTTGAGGTTCTGCCCCAAACCCCTTGACTTACTTGCTCCCCCTTCCACCTCTCCCTCTGACTCTGAGTGGGACTTGCTGTGTGCTCTGTGTGTGTGTTTGTGTGCATGTGTGTGTGTGTGTGTGTGCATGTGTGTGTGTGTGTTTGTGTGCGTGTGTGTGTGTGCGTGTGCATGTGTGTGTGTGTGTTTGTGTGTGTGTGTGTGTTTAGCCTGCAGCTCTCTGGCAAACCAGCCTCCCCAGAGGTGCCTCCCCCCAAAGGAAAACCCTGAGTTACATGTCCACTCTCTCTCACCTTCCCATTTTCACACAATTAAGAGCTGACGTTTATCAAGAAGCTAAAATTGTGGATTTCTTTATTTCGATTTTCTATTGCTTGTTGCAGAATGTGGGGGTGGGGGTGGGGGCAGTTTCTAGTGTAAGCCCCCTGCTAATTCTCCTCTTCTACTTGGGGGGTGCACTCGAGGCAGCGATCGATGCCTGTCGAACCCCCCACGTGCCCCCCTACTCTTTCGAGGACTTATCAGTGTGCTCAAGGGGCTTTGCTCACATGTAAAGGTTCCTGAAGGATAAGCAAAGCCAGAGCTGTAACGAAACCTTTCCCAGACACAATAGGACTGGCTGAACACAAGGCGTTCACACATCTCCATCGGAGATTGTAAAGACGACCACTTAGGAAGTATTTTGCCAATTTATGCAACATTTTTCCGTGTTCATGTTCCGATACTCATGCTGATTTGGGCTGTTGTGTATGTTCCAGTATCGCTTGAGAGTGTTTGACAGTACTGAAAATCCCTTAGAGAAGGTGTCAACTTGTAAAAAGTAAAGATGAGACACAGGAGATTATGTGTATGTGTGTCTGTGTGTGTGTGTGTGCTGTTTGTGTGTGTGAGTGTGTGCTTGTGAGTGCTTCTGTGTGTGTGTGCATCTGTGTGAGTCTATGAGTGTGTATGAGCATGTGTAGGTGTGAGTACCTATGTGAGTGTGTTCGTATGTGTGTGGGAGTGTGTGTGTGAGTATGTGTGAGTGTGAATATGTGTGTATGTGTGTGTGTGAGTGAGAATGTTTGTATATGTGTGTGAGTGTGTGTGCGTGTGTGTGAATGTGTGGCGATTCCTTTGTCTGGCCCAGAGCTGATGCTCTTTCTCGGCTGCATCCCTAACTGTGAGTGCCGCTCCAGCTTCCCTGGGTGCCTGAGTCTCTGTGATCTCTCACTCTGCCTTCCGGGTGGAAACTCCTACGCTCAGACCCTCTGGACCACCAGAGAAGCATCAGTTTTCGGAGCACCCCGATATTTACCACCATTGCATAAAGGTGCCGTCGACCTCACCATCATCTACGTCTTCATATGGATCTAAAACAGACCAACCCTGTCTTTCACCCTGTCCACATCCGACGTTTTAAGAACAGGGCATTCGTTTGTGCAAAAAGATACGGATAAAAAGTAACGACTGCAATGCAGGACAGATGGGCTTTGCTGTTTTGTGAAGCCAGGCGCGCATTCACGTCCGACACCCGCCAAGCTCCAGAATCAACCCAGCCTGGCACGATAACGAGGAGGCGAACGTCAGCTCCGCGCATCTCTCTGACGTTCGAAACTCCGCCAGAGTCTGTCGGCACAAGTGCACGGATTTGCAATCCACCCCCAGAAGCAACTGGTCCAGGCGACCGCAAAATGCAGAGCAGCAGAGTAACTGCACAACTCACTCCAAAGAGAAAAAGAACTGCTGCCATTTGGAGACCACAGAGATGGGGTGAGTTTTGACAGCGCCGGCTCCTAAATCAAGACAATTGGCTCCAACACATAAATACACTCTCACCCTCAGACGGCACGGCGACCACATGTTGGATGTACACATGCACGGACGCACACAGGTGGACGCACACGCGCGCAGATGAGGGTCCACTCACTCTGGTACTCCTGTCCGGGAGTGTAGCTGCTCGGGTTCCCCGCGATCTGCAGTGTGAGTAGCACTTCGTCCTCAGCGTGCGCTACACTGCCGCCCTGCAGGTCACCATGGTGGGTGCACAGGAAGAAGAAGGGGTTGAAGCGACGGCGGTGACCCATCGGCGGGGCCCCGGGTTCCGTGGGGTTCCCCGAAGCCGGGCCCAGCAGGGCCAGGCTCAGGGTGCCCCCCAGGAGAAAGGCCCACGTCATCCTGGCCATGGGCGAGCTCGGGGGGGTCCAGAAGGGGCACGTGTGCGTGCGTGTGAGTGAGCGAGTGAAAGAGGCCGTGTGTGACAGTGGCTGATGCCTGCTCTCCTCTCCTTCCTCCGCTGGCTGGGAGTTTGCCTGCGCTGTCCTGATCCACGCTTAAATACTCCCCTTCTCTCCTCCCTCTCTCTCTCTCTCACTCTCTCTCTCCCTCCGTGTAACATCAGCCCTGCACGTGCGGGGGGCTTGTAGAGCCTGCCTCTCTCTTTTCATCCCATTCTCTCCTCCCCTCTTTTCTGCCAGTCCATCAATCCCATAATTTCCCTTAATATTCCTTCCTGCACACACACCCCCCAGTCTGACTTTCATTTTCCCTCTCATTCACTTGCCTCTTTTCTAACTGTCGCTTTCACATTCCCCTCATTCCGGCCTATTTAAGCCCCCCAGGAACCCTCCCCCCCCCACTTTACACACCCCATAAAGTCTTCTTTCCTTTCTCACTCGGCTCTTCAATCCTGCCACACTAACTTCATGCCCAATTTCACTGCTTCCTGTCGCTCCTTCTCCGTTTCCCTTCTCCTTCTCACTTTCTTCCGCGTCCTCAATCCTGCGTTCCCTTCTCTCTTCCCCCCTCCTCAGTGGCTGTCCGGGCTGATAACACCATTTTCACTCCTCTCTCCATCATCCTCTCCCTCGCTCGCTCTATCCATCTGTCTCTCAGCACCCATTTCCAGAACAACGGGGGGGGTTCTCTCAGTTATTTTTCACTCACTCCCCTCCTCCATGCCACTCTCCCTCCTCACCTGCTTTTATCTTCCTTAAAAATCTTGAAAATAATAATAAAAGAAAAAACATACAGCTGGCCGCTTGCTAACTAGGCACAAGTAACATACATTTGTTCAGCTCTCCAAGTGAAAAGCAAATATGTGCACGTGTGTGTGTGTGTGTGTGTGTGTTTGCTGGGTCTATGGCTCTCTGCCATTTTCCAAAGACTCCAGGATCGGAAGATTTTCCAGTTTGCGGTCCCGATCTTGAAACGAATGGTGAAAAGGAAGCAAACGGTTTCTGTAAATCTAAAAAAATGTCTCAGTGTTACTGTGCCAGAGCACGTGTGTGTGTTTCTGTGTGTGTGTGGGGGGGGCATCTCTAGAGGCTGAGAGATAGCCTGCTGGCTGTGACTGTTTTATTGGTTGTTCAACCTGTCCCCAGTACATCTATATATTTCAGAAATTAATTAGAGGTGGGACCTCACAGAAGATAAAACTCTGGACTGGCGAAGGACCACAGCGTTGTGACCCTCATTCTGACAAGACTGGGGGCTGCAGACCAGTTTGTGTCAAGACATCCTAACCTCTCCAACCCTGTCTCTTACACACACACACACAGACACACACACACAGTATCTCTGCATGTCTGTACTTCATCATCACTACTGCAGGTCAGTCACTCTGGCCCCTGTGAATAAACAGAGCTGTGTGTCAGTCCTGGGGAGGGCAGAGTGTTGAAGACTAAACCCTTAAGTGTGTGGAATGCAGCAAAGAGGAGCGCCCCCCCCCCCCGCCGGCCACTCAGGGTTTATTTTAAAAGTCCTACATTGGGGGTCGGGGCTGTTTAGGTAGCGCCCTTAGAGCAAAACAAACAAAAGACAACAGCAGGCGCACCGTCCTCTCTGCTCTGGGCTTCCCCTGCCCCGATTCCAGGGATTCTCTCACGCTCACATCTGGGATCTTTTGGCAGCTTGTTACCGGCTTAATTAAGCCCCTTTAATTAATTACATGCGTGCATGCAGAGGAGATATCTGTGTCTCGCTCCCGGTTTCAGTCACCAACGAGTGAGCGTGTCTGTGTCTGTGGGTTATGTACACATTACTTTGTGGGGACCAAATGTCATGGGGATGTTATGGCTGGGTCGGGGTTAAGGTTGTCATTGTTGGGATTAGGGTTTTCCCCACAAAAACATGGATGCAAATGTGTGTGTGTGGGTGTGTCTGTGTGTATGCACACACCTCACTTAGGTTTTCAGCAATCTTTGCATTTTATTTAAATTCTGTCATTTTGCACTTTTATTGTTATTGCCACATGCTTATAATAAAATCACTTTATTTGTCATGTCACTTCATGCTTGGCTGAGTACAGGTGAGTGAAATATTTGTCCCAAACAGCGAACGAAATAGTACAATAAAATGTGGTCATACATGCAGGGCTGTGATCGGAAGTGAATGGCTTTTGTTACATATCATGTGATGTTCACATATGTGTCTCCGGTCTCTGTCGGCCGGTCAGCACCAGAACGGAGCCCCTGCAACCACTTTCTCTGTTTACTGGCAGAGAAAGGACACAAAACACGTACACACACAGACACACACATAGACACACAGACACGTACACAGCACACACACACACAGACACACACATAGACACACAGACACAGCACACACACACACAGATGGGCTGCATGACCCGGAAGATGGACCTTAAATGCCACTGAGAGATAAGCAGAGATGGGGAAGCAGATGAGGTGAATTTTACCCACAATCCCACAGGACTCCCAGTAAATCCCCACTACCTCTTCTGTTGCTGTTCACAACCATTGCGCGTCCCCCCCCCCAACCCCCACCCCCACCCCACATTAAAGAGGGAGGGAGGGACTGGGGGCAATGTCTCCCCATTATGGAAACTAGGTCGGGAAAGGGGGGGTGGGGGCAAGGCAAGTAATTATTTTTATCATTTTTAATTTCTACCCCGAGGATCTGTGAGTGCCTTTGTGTGCTACTGACTCCCCCCCCCCCCCCCCCCAGTCGTTATCGCGTAGCTGCGAGGCAAACTAAGCAGAACATGAGGGCCAAACAAAAGAGAGTGCTTAGAGGGATAGAGAGAAAGCGTGTGGGGGGGGTTGCTTTGGGGCTGCCGGTGGCAGGACTGAGGCCAGGATTTCGGTCTCATTTGTTGACTGACACCAAGGGCAGTTCAGGCATATGGGGGGGGGCTAGTACTGTCCCTTGGGACCTCTGCACTTGACAGCAGAACAAACTGACCCCCCACCCCACCATAACCAGGAACCAGTACCCAAAGGTTGGGAGGTCAGGTCTCCACAGCCTGATCTCACAGCTCACTTTGCTAATGTTAGCTAAGAGACAGACATTAGGAATGTCACACTCAGACACATCTGCCAGCTGCAGCCCCACCCGGCCCACTGCTCGTAAACAGCCCTGGGCGCCATCTCCCCCCTCCCAGAGTGATCATCGCCCAGCCTTCATCCCGACGTTCTCCTGCCACATCCGGGATCTCTCACACACCCCGGATCTGTCACCCACCTACCCTAATTCTGTCATGCTCCAGAAGCCCAGGTTCCTCCTGGGGGGCGGGGGGGTTTCTGATACGGCACCTGCCTCACGCCGGCGTCGGCTGAAGCGGGGGAGCATGCGGAGAGAACGCGGCGCCGGTTCCACAGCCGTCAGATCACGCGCATCGCCGACAGCCTGCTGGTTCCCAGCCCCGTGCAGGTCGGGACAGGGTGTGGAGTCGCATCCCTTAATCACAGCACTTTACAGAGACAGGGAAGCCCCACATCTGCCATGGAGCTGATGAGATATCAGGTGTGGTGGGGGGGGGGGGCATGGAGACAACCCTAAGCCAGATGAAATAAAATGAAACCCAGCTAGGCAGCCCCCCCTCACCCCCTACACGCAGCTCTCCAAACAGAACCAAGACTCTAGTCCTGCAGAACCACAAAGATGCTGGCTCCTCTGTCAGGCTCAGCCAAGAGCAGGAAGGCTTCGTCTTCATAGTCCCCCACCTTAGTCCTCGGCCCGGACCCAGACCAACCCCCGGCATCCCACTAAACCCATAACCGATAACCACACAGGTGTGACCACCAGGCCGGTCAAGAATCACATAGGCGCCTGGAGTTTTTCGTTGGTGAGACCAAATGAGTCGGAAGCCCTTGGGATTGTAATTAAAATGAATGGTCTGGGTAAGACGTCTGTCCTGGGAGGACGTGCTGAAGGACGTCGGCATCCAAGCCCTGAAGACAGAGGAGAGAGGATAGGGAATGGGGGGGGGGGGGGGCAGTAAAAAAATGAAGCTGTCTACAGGACTGTGTCACATTTAGGAAGATATCGTTTTCCAGGAATGTGCAAAGACACACACACACACGCATGGCACATACATACTCAGTCACTTTTCTGTCTTTGTGGGGTCTTTCGTGCAAACGCGTAGAGACCAACTAAACCAAAATATATATAAAAAACTTTCCTTTTTTAAAAATGAAAACAGAGCTCTAAGCAAAAGTGCTTATTAATGTCCCACAATGTGTGTTTTTATTTTGGGGGGGCGTGCTCTGCGAATTTGTTTGCAAAGAGCCAGGAAGACATCACATACAGCTAAGGATGATGGGGGGGGGGGCAAAGACTCTGTAATGAAGCTTTAATTCCATGAAGATGTTCTTGTCACTGAACACTCAGTCACAGTGATAGGTTCGCCGCCTATCTCCAGTCCCATAGTTTTGGGAAGGGGGGGCACATGATATAGGCTACTGATGCACACAGGCCTCTTTCACAGGAAGGCTGATGTGTGAAGTCAAGGTGCCTTCAATGCAGTCGCATAACCGTAAAGAGATTTTAATTTATATAGGAAATAACTAACAAAAAGTAATAATTACAAGTAAATCATGGAAGAGATAAAACATTATGACAAATAATATGACTGCAGACACTGAAAATCAGGGTCAGAATTTAGCACAAAACCGGAAGAGACTTAGAGGTAACTAGGAATGAGCAGAAAGACGCATCATCGGTGGGGAACGGACCGTCAGCACCCCAGCAGCCCCCCCCCCAGCAGCCCCCCGCCCTCCTCAGGATGTGCCCTGGAATGACGATGAGGCAGGGAGGGACGAGATCAATCCCGAGCTACAGGAGTGAGAAAATGCATGTGTGAATATGTGTGTGTGTGTGTGTCTGTGTGCGTGTGTGTGTGTCTGTGTGTGTGTGTGTGTCTGTGTGC